AAGGTTTTCAAGACTTCAAATCATTGCAGAAACAGAAAGTCTCATCTTACCCCAGCAGAGCAGCTGGTGGTCTCGAACTGCAGACCTTGTGGTTCATAGTTCAGTACTTATCGTGTGGTTAGTATTGGGCAGCATGGTGACTCAGTAGGATAAGCAATGTACTATGAACCACAAGGTTGGAGCCCACCAGCAGCTCCACAGGAGAAAGATAAGACTTTCTGCTACTGAAAAACTTGACTTTGGAGAACGTCTGGCCCTGCCTAGGCAATTGCATTTCTAGCCGTCACATTATAGCAGCCTAATTTTTAAATTAGTAATTTTGTATGGCCCGTGAATGATATTATAAATATCCAAATAACCTTTGGCAGAAAAAGACTCCCCACCTTTGCTTTAGAAGCTCAGAAACCCTATCCAGGGTCGCTGTGAGTCAGAACTGACTCCGTGACACTTAAGTACAACAATGGTTATAAACAGCTGAAAAAAGAAAAAAAAAGACTTGGTACAGCCATATCAATAAGTTTTTATAAGAAATGAAAATACTATTGTTGTTGTTAGGTGCCATCAAGTCAGTTCTGACTCCCAGCGAGCCTATGGTAACAGACCGATTCACTGCCTACTACTGTGCTTTGCTCACTTTCATTGTCGTGTGTGAGCCATTGTTGCAGCCACTGTGTCAGTCCATCTTGTTGAGACTCTACTTCACTGAGCATGATGTCCTTCTTCAGGGACTTGACCCTCCTGATAGCATACCCAAAGTAGGTGCAATGAAGTCTCCTCACCCTCGCTTCAAAGAAGCATTCTGACTGCTTCTTTCAAGTCAGACTTGTTCTTCTTTGGGCAGTTGTGGTATATTCACTATTCTTTACCAACACCATAGTTTAAAGGCACGTAAAATACTACTATGAGTTGCTATTTTTAATTCCTGGATCTTTGCTTCCTTTTAGGTATATGTTTGCATATTTCAGTAACATAAATTGAGATTAGCAGAGATAAGAGCCTATCCCGTGGAGGTCGGTTGTTGGTACCCAGCTCACCTCCTCCCTGCTCATCTTGCATTAAACCAACACACTACTTTCTGACATTAAGAGGTAATACAGCAAAGTGGAATCCTGGCGTGGCACTGTGGGCTAATGCGTCAGACTGCAAAGTTGTTTGAACTGCAAGGTCAGCGGCTCAAGCTCACCAGTTGCTCCTTGGAAACCCTATACAGGGTTGCTATGGGTCGAAATCGACTGGCACTTAACAACAACATAACAAAGTGGTAGTCAGCATGGGCTCTAGAGTCAGACTAAAGCATGTTCAAATCTTGGCTTAGCCACTTACTTGCAAGCAGTGTGCCTTTGGTAAATTACTTAAACTTGCAAAGCAAGTATAACCTACCTCACTGTATTGTGAAAAAGTTTAAATATGAAAATGTGTGTACAACATTATTGCGATCATTAAATGAGCTATGCATATAAGCAAGTAACAGGATAATTCTTAAACTATAGTATGTTTTCAAGGAGCTCTTATAGTATAGTGGTTTTGAGTCAGGCTGCTAATCTCACGGTCAGAAGTTCAAAACTACCAATGGTTGGTTCCATGGGAGAAAGATGAGGCTTTCGGCTTCCATAAAGATTTACAGCCTCGGAAGCCCTATGCAGGGCCGCCATGAGTTGGAACCAACTCCACGGCACATAACCACCACCACCAGTATGGTTTCAATAAATGCTGCCTTTCTTTCTGGTGGTTGTTGTTAAGTGACATTGAGTCAGTTCTGGCTTGTAGCAACCCCTTATAGGGTTTCCGAGAAATGGTTGCTGGGTTTGAACAGCCAATCCTGTGGTTAAGCAGTCCAGTGCTAAGCCAGCAGTGCACACCAGGGCTCCTTGTTAAAGTGAAAGCTCAGCCAAAGTAGCAAAGTAAATTCACTTTCAAGAACTACCAGTAAGGAGTTACCTATGGCGCTGTAGGATAAGCGCTGTGAGTCGGAACCAACTCAACAGCCCTTAACAACAACAATTCTGTAAAACTAGAAGGCGCCTGTAATTTCACTTTTTGGGAGAGCATTATGGATTTTAGAATTTGTGTCCATTTCAAAGAGAGGTGACCCAGTGGAATGCAGAAATCATGGGACAATATTAT